AGTGATATAATTATTCTTATCTGTTCAGATTACAAGAAGCCATGGTTCATGATATTAGTAAGACTCACTCTTTAATATCCACGGCTTCTCCTCGCGTCGCAGCTTTCCCCAGATTATCAACCAGAATGTGAATACATCTAAATGCTATTTCAGATGCAGATTCCAGAAATGTTTTCTTGTGTTGGCATGAAAGACACTAAGCACCGGATGAAGTGCTTCTTATTCTTACCCAAAAATACAAAATGGAAGAAAGAGTTCAAACTGAACACAATCTTGCTACTCAAGCAGTGTATGAACAATTTTATATATATTATTTTTATTTGCTTCTTTTCCATTTTGCATTTACTTGTACTTTTACTTTCAATACTTAAGTACGTTTAAGATTTAAAAAATACTTTTCGTACTTAAGTACAATAAATATCACATACTTTAAGACTTTTACTCAAGTAATATTCTAAACGGTGACTTCAATATTCAATATTCAATTAAAAATATCAATACCCATTTATTATAATTTTTTATGCAATGTTGAATCGAAATGTTTCTCTCTAAAGCTACTTTTTTGTAATGTCTATTCAATGCTTTACTCTCCTCATGGGGTGATTAATGTGCTATTACTTAGATTCATTAATTGGAACGTCATGTAGCCTTCATCATTGGTTACTGTTCTAATATGGCAGCCCATAGAGACATCAGCGTATTCTGTTGAGACTTTACCGATGATCAGGAACAGAGGGTTCAGGAAGTCAAACTTCAGCATTTTCTTGATGTTGGTCACAAATGGGTCTTTAGGGTTGTTGAGAGAGTCGATGTCGACGCTGAACGCCGTGCTGGTCACCACATCCATACTGTACGCCCCGAAGAACCTGAACACATGCAGACCAGAGAGAGCTAATGCTCAGTTATTCTGATAAATATACTCTCTTTCAGTCGTGTGACTTTTTACAGTCGGCTGATGTATTTATGACCATCAGCAATGCAAAGAACAGTAACACTTTATTTTAAGGTGTCCTCGTTACACACGTTGCATGTACTTACTATTACAATAACAATAAATGATGCATAAATACATGCAAGTAACCCTAAGCCAAACCCCAATCCTAACCCTAAACATATAGTAAGTACATGTAGTTAATTAAAATTACTCAGTACTTAAATGCATAGTTACACTGAAACAAGTACACCTTAAAATAAAGTGTAACCCAAAGAACTAGTGGTCAAAACAACCGAGATGCCAAGAAAACTGCTGATTATTGATCCAGAAAACCTTTTCGATATCATTTATTTATATGAAATCCCCGGTTTTCCTCTGCATAGCAGCACTTCATCCTGAGATCAGTAATTATTTAGTGGGGTCTGTCTGACTTCAGATACGTATGTGTTTTCTGGCTTGGATCAAATCCAGTGATCAGCAGTTTTTCCAAAGTATCTCTGTTCATGTTTGTTCATTTCACCGCCGTTACTTTGCCCCACTGATCATTAGAGGTTATAAAAGCTTATTAGTCGGGTATTTGAGCACCTTTGCTCTGGTGATTATAATATAGTGATATAATTATTCTTATCTGTTCAGATTACAAGAAGCCATGGTTCATGATATTAGTAAGACTCACTCTTTAATATCCACGGCTTCTCCTCGCGTCGCAGCTTTCCCCAGATTATCAACCAGAATGTGAGAGTGAGTCTTCATGATGCCAAACATCTAGAGCGAGGAACGGCATATATCATCATCATCATCATCATCATCATCATCATCATCAACTCATCTGAATCAGTAATGTCTGGACAGTGCTCCTGGAAATGCCTCTTTCATATTTTAGTGAATCAAACACACTTCAGCTTCAATGATTCTGTAGGTCAAACGACTTTCTTGTTCAATGATTACTTCAGATAAGTTATTAAACATCTACAGTCGTAACTCTTGTTACACGATCAAACACAGATGATGCATCAATCAATCCTAATGTGAATCACTTGCTCTGAGCAGCTCAGCATGAATGACTCTGTAGTTCAAACGAGTCATTTTACATCTAGAGCTGAAATCTTGCCAGGACTGTAACATGTAATCACTAGAGATATTAACTGTTAGAGGACTATTAAAGCATGAGAAGGATGCAGATGCAGATAATAGAATAAAGCATGAAGTATAATGTGAATCATTAGCTCAGTTCAGCTCCAGTCTGGGTTTCTCTCTCAGATGACTGACGGTTTATCTGTGGCATTATTAAACAGAAGAGGACATGTATGTGTGAGTGACTCCAGACTCACAGACCTCCTTTAACCTCCCGCTGGTGAAGGAGGGTGAGAGGACGCTGCGGATCCTCCTCCAGTTGTCATCTTCAGCGATGGACACGGCGTCGTACAGCGGCCCGTTCAGACGGAAGTTCTGCCGGTTCAGAGGACAAACCCAGATGAAACCACAACACAAACACAAACATGAATGGTTCCATCGGCCAGAAAACATTCCAGTCATGCAGATTTATTATTATTACTATTGAAAGAATAGCATTTTCTGCTCAGGTCCCTCTGTATTTTATAGAGCTCTAAAGTGGACACGGTGACTGAAAACAATAGCTTGCAAAACTTTTGCATTTTCTTGCTTTGTCAGCAAGGTCCATCACTCTACATTCAGGGCAGATCAAATCAGTATTTGACGAGGCTGATTTAAATTCAGAACGAAGATGATGAAGATGATTTTACCCTTCTGTTGGTGAAGAGAGAGTAGCATTCTTTAACCAGGATGGTTTTGATGATGGATTGGTCCATGATGCACAGAACAGGCTGCCTCGCATCGTAGATACTGCGAGAAACACAGACAACATTGACATTCAATTCAGAAGAATCATTCAGTTCATTATAATCATGATTTCACCAGAATTTGTACGATTGATTGACGTTCAGTATCTCGTAATGACCATCGTCGTCAGCTCTGATTCGTCATTACAGATCTCATGAAGCTTGTCACTGATCTCATAAAGACCGTGTCAAACCTTCAATCAGTTCTGTTTCATTTGTGTCAGATGTTCTGATTCTTTCATAGCTTCATCTGCAAGTCTCACACTCACCCCCAGACTCGTCCATACTTCTCGAAACACTCCACATCGAAGTGATGAATACCCTGAAAGAGCAGATTATGATAAGACACTGAGAGCACAGGAGATGAAGCTGAAGAGTGCGTGAGATCATTCATTCATTAGAGCGGATGAATCTTTAGCAAACCTGAGTCAAGTCAACCTGCAGGAGCTCATCACAGGTCAGTGTTTGCTTGAACACACAACTCACCTTTCTATATTCCAGGATCGTTCCGAAGAACGGCAGGGCTTTGGGCCCCGGGATGCCCAGCTTCTTGAAGACACCATGAGGCCAGGATCCATATCTGGAAATGACATCAGAATCTTTTTAGACAGATGTTATGACATCAGCTACAGTCGTGTGCTTGAGAATCACGTTCTTCTGCTACGAAGTGTTAATATATGAAATTATTCCAGTTTCATGTTCCTTGTTTTTATTTCATATGACAATATATCTCATATGGAAATTTAATAGATGAACATATATTAGATTTCTGTGTGGATTTTTATGAAGATACAACTAGAACTAGTTCTTCAGTTGAACAGAGCATCACTTACATGAAGAGAAGCGCCACAAACAGCATGAGCAGAGCCCATGTTTCAGCGGAGAAGAACAGACCGTAGCTCATGGTTTCTGCTCCGGGACGCTCAGACTACAGAAACACTGGCAGCGAGCAGCAGCAGCTTTATTCTGCTCTCAGACTACACATTAACCAGTGGAGAAAAGCCTCACAAACACACCCACAGCGTCACGCTCACCTCTGAACACACTCACAATCTCTGCCGTGTTGGGTCTGTTCACTGCTGAACTCATCGATCCCACCACAAAGGTGGGATGTTTTCCCCACTTTGTTGTTGTAGTGTAGTGTTCCTGGTCCAAAATGACCGGCCTAAAAAAATAGCTTATGAATATCTCATTATGGTATATTATCACCAAATATTGGATTCCATCTTTTTATCAACTTGCTTTTATATCAAAAAGCATAATTTGTGGATTATTGGTAGAAATTTTAAATAAAATATGAAAAAAATGCACTGTTTATTACAGTATTGCGGTTTAAAGGAGACATATGTGACCCTGGACCACAAAACCAGTCTTAAGGGTCAAATTGAGATTTATGCATCATCTGAAGCTGAATAAATAAGCTTTCCATTGATGTATGGTTTGTTAGGATCGGACAATATTTGAAAATCTGGAATCTGAGGGTGCAAAAAAATCTAAATATTGAGAAAATCATCTTTAAAGTTGTTCAAATGAAGTTCTTAGCGATGCATATTACTAATCAATAATTAGGTTTTTATATATTTACGGTAGGAAATTTACTAAATACCTTCATGGAACATGATCTTTACTTAATATCCTAATGATTTTTGGCATAAAAGAAAAATGTATAATTTTGGCACATACAATGTATTGTTGGCTATTGCTACAAATATCCCCCAGCGACTTAACACTGCTTTTGTGCTGCAGGGTCATATTTGATAAGATGTGGCAGCAGCAATATACAGGAAATAAATCAATAAATGCACTGCTCTGTTGTCTCTGAGGCTGGGACTCTAAACAGTGTTCTGTGCTTGTCTCTGCAGACAAACACAGAACAGTTAGCGTGTTTCGCTCAAACTTTCATCATGGCATTAGAGCTGGCACACCGTTGTCGCTTGCGAAATCAAAATGACGGTGCCTTGAGTGGAAGTTAAGGGGCGGTAATATTATAATGAGATCCCTTTGCCACGTCACCAAGGGAGCGAAATCAGATGCGCTGGTTTTCTCAGACGCTTGCAGAAAAATGCTTCCCAAAACAAAGTTCCTGGGTGAATCTTTTTCACGTTTCCTTGGTTGGTAGATGCACCGGGGACCTGATTATAGCACTTAAAACCTGGAAAAGTCAGATTTTTATAATATGTCACCTTTAATGTTTAATGAAAATGAAGTTTGTTTTTAGATGTTTTATTTTGTACAAAATGGTACAAAGTCACACTTGTAGTTTTCATAATCAAAAAAAGATTTAATCCAATATTTGGTGATAATAAAGCATAATTTTCTCTTTGTATGCCAAATTATTATTTAAACTCTGTATGATTGTGTAAACAGGCACCAGAGTCATAGACATCACACACACGTCAGATACATATCTGCAGACTTTAATTGATTTGAAACATTTCATTTCATATTTCCATTTTATTACCTTCAAGGTTAACCTAATGTAATCTCTTTTCTCAATCATCACAAAGTAAAACCTCTAAATATGAATCTCATGGCATCATCATTTCCACTCTCAGAAAGTCCCAGATGACAGCAGAATCTGTCCAAAAAGTAAAGCAAGTTACTGAACTCTCAGTCCGAGTCCGAAAGACCCGGAGAATCCTCTTCTTCACTGAAGACTAGAGACTACGTCTATTCTTTTATTTTAAAAGACCGATCAAACCTCCTCCTCGGACTGAAAGAGATGCGCGCAGCAGATGAACGGTGGTTCAGGAGCTGCTCTACGATGTGTTGTTGTTACAGATATCTTCTGTGAGGGAAACTTTCCGAGGCTTGAGCTTGAGTTTGATGGGCTCTTTGGGAGAAAGGAAACCGTTGATGCCGAGCTCCAGAGGAACCTGTGAAGAGCAAGAGAAGGTGAGCGTGAGTGAAGGACCGCAGTCCTCATGTGTGACCATGTGGAGGATCCGTCTGCTCACCTGAGTCTGGTCACAGACGGAGATGTCGAACCTCTGCAGGATCTCCACGATGGCCAGCTTCATGGTCACCTGAGCAAACCTCATCCCGATGCAGTTCCTGGGCCCCAGACCGAAGGGCATGTACATGTAGGGGTCGATCGACTCATTGTTGTCTTTAGTGAACCTGGGAATGAAGCAGAAGCCGTTACTCTGAAGAACCACTGAGATGTTGGGTTTTAGAGTGAACTCAGGTCTGTGTTTCTCCGGCTCTAGTTCTCTACAGTGCTGTGTTTTGTGGTTAATGACTGACCTCTCGGGTTTGAAGCTCTCCGGGTCGCTCCAGTAATCCGGGTCTCTGTGGAGCGCGTATGTCGGGATCATCACCACCATGTCTTTAGGGATGAGGAGGCCGTTGATATCCACCGTTTTCTTACAGACCCGCTCGAGTCGACCAGCGACGGGGAACAGCCGCAGAGACTCGTGCAGCGCCGCGTCCAGATACTCCATGTTCATGACGGCTTCATAGTCCACCGGAGCCTTCAACACAGTTCAGAGCTTAACCTCTCAAACTCTTCACACTTACAGATTCACTCAGTTCTCCGAGCTCTACCTTATCAGCGAAGGTCTGGTCGATCTCCTCCTGCAGTTTCTTCATGGCCTCCGGGTTGGTTGCCAGATTGTAGAAGAAGAAGGACAGAGTGCTGCTGGTGGTCTCATACCCGGCGAAGATGAAGATCATGGACTGCGAGAGGATCTCGTGGTCGCTCAGACCTGCACAGGACACCGTGTGAGGAATGTTTCTTCAAATACGGTACAAGCTCTTAACTCTCTGAGATGCTTCACCTTTCTCTGTGTGTTCGGTGCTGCTTCCGTGCTCAGTTTTCCCTGCTGTCTGAGAATCGACCATCAGCTGCAGGAAGTCCACTCGCTTCTACAGGAAGATGCATGCGATTATATTTACGGTCATGCATTTGGCGGATGCTTCTATCTACTTTGGCGTTGTTCGTGTGAAGTGTTTATCGTACCTTCTTGTGGTCCTTGGCCACTCTTTCGGACTTGATCTTCTTTAAGGCAGCGTAGAAGAAATCGGTCACAGATGTCGGGAATAAGGCATAATCCATTTTATCCAGGACAGGGGTGATGAAAGGAAATAAAGCTAGTGAAGAAACCGAAAAGGGTCAGAAAGTTTCCTACGCTCAATTGTGTTGAACTGACAGGACTAGTTGAGCTGTTTACCGGTGAACAGGAACAGAGGGTTCAGGAAGTCAAACTTCAGCATTTTCTTGATGTTGGTCACAAATGGGTCTTTAGGGTTGTTGAGAGAGTCGATGTCGACGCTGAACGCCGTGCTGGTCACCACATCCATACTGTACGCCCCGAAGAACCTGAACACATGCAGACCAGAGAGAGCTATTGTCATCTGATAAACATATAACCTATATTCTCTATAAATAGTGAATGTTCTCCATGAATATTATCAGTCTATATAGGTTATTACAGGTTATTGGTGAGGCATTTGAACACCTTTGGTCTGTAATTAAAGTGATATTATTGCAGCTCTGTTCTTATCTATTCAGATAACAACAGGCCATATGTGGTATTATGTAAGACTCTCGAATGTGCGACTCACTCTTTAATATCCACGGCTTCTCCTCGCGTCGCAGTTTTCCCCAGATTATCAACCAGAATGTGAGAGTGAGTCTTCATGATGCCAAACATCTAGAGAGAGGAACGCAGTGTATCATCATCATCATCAACTCAAACCATCTTCATCACACACAGGTAACAGTGATATTTTAATACAAGCCTGAAGTGAATCAAACAGCATGAATCTTTCTGTAGTTCAAACGAGTCATTTTACATCTTGAGCTAAATTCTTGTAAGTTTGTACCGCAGCATAGTATTACTGCCTTCAAGTTCTGCTTCAGATAAGAGATATTAACTACAGCTATAACACTTGTTAGAATGACACGGATAAAGAGAAGATAAAGCATCAATCAATCCTAATGTGAATCACTTGCTCTGAGCAGCTCAGCATGAATGACTCTGTAGTTCAAACGAGTCATTTTACATCTAGAGCTGAAATCTTGCCAGGACTGTAACATGTATTCACTAGAGATATTAACTGTTAGAGGACTATTAAAGCATGAGAAGGATGCAGATGCAGATAATAGAATAAAGCATGAAGTATAATGTGAATCATTAGCTCAGTTCAGCTCCAGTCTGGGTTTCTCTCTCAGATGACTGACGGTTTATCTGTGGCATTATTAAACAGAAGAGGACATGTATGTGTGAGTGACTCCAGACTCACAGACCTCCTTTAACCTGCTAGATGGTCAGACTAGTTCTTCAGACATAGTGGCTATGTTTATGCAACTTTATATCGTGTTTGTTCTCTGTTCTAGTCACAATTCCTGCTTTAATCCAGCTGTATTTCTTTCTTTTTTATATGTATTTTACGTCTCTTTTCCTAGAATATGACCGTTTCTGTTTGTTTTTCACTTCTCAGAGGAAAGACAAAGATCAGTTTGCTCTGGACAGCACTGAGATCGAACGGAGAGCAAACAGAGTCCATAGAGAAATGTGTCTACACTTTACTCTTACTGTACTGGATATAACTACTGGCTGATTCATTATTTCTCCTGAAGAATTTAGGACTCAACATGTCTGCTTTCTAATCTAGTTTACCTGGTATGGAATATCATGACTGTTGTTTGACTCTTTGACTATTGTAAATCATTTAGATAAAAGCGTCTGCTAAATGCATTAATGAAGATGTTAAAAAAAACCTGGCATGTAAATGTAAACATACTTGTGTATTGTGCAAATAAATGCATGCCTTGTATAAATGTGACTTATAGTATGAATGTAAACATAAATACTGTGTAAATGTAGCTTATCATGTAAATGTAAACATAATTGTGTAAATGTATACATAACTTATTATTGTATAAATGTAAATATTCATCTGCTGTAAATGTACATCTAAATGTGAATGTAAACTTAACCATATAAATGTAAAAGTAACTATTGTGTAAATATTAACTAAGAAACATCATGTCTCCTGAAGCAACGTCTGACCAGTTGTCCTTCAGTATTTTCACAGAGCTGAAGCTGGGATGTTTTATTTCATCTCTTTAACCTGAGGTCGGAGTGTGGCTTATTCAGCATGAGTGTTTTTAAACCAAACTAGTGTGTGTTTTTAATTATACTGGTGTCGACTCTTTGGCCTCGTATTTTATGGCTCCTCTTTCTTGGCTAATGGTCATGTGTTCAGCTTCTATCAATCAGTCACTGACAGCGATGAGGTTTTGACACGCACACGGCATCATGGTGTTGTACTTACTCTACAGAGTGAGCGTGAGCGTGAGGAGCTTGATAAGATTAGCATGCGCACATGAGTTAGTTTCATGGCTCACTTGCTTTGGCCGTATGTAAACGTAGCATCTGCACAGGTTCACAGTCTCTCCAGTAACCATAGAAACCAGCAGTGTGACCCAGTGGCTCCTGGGACTGGGTCTCAGATGCTCTGTTTTTCTCTCTAAACTGCTTTTGATTGTGCAAACAGAAACCAGAGTCCACCAACACCTGCCCTCATTTCAAGAAAGTATTTTCCCACTCCGTGCAGAAGAATGGAGGAGGAGGAGTGAACGGCTCGTGTTTATGAGCACTCAGTCGTTCCCGGGGCAGGTCTGGGCTTGTTCTTCTGGGAATGTGGGAAACAACCTCTTAGACGACACAGGTGACGTGTGTCATTCACGCAACAACTGCAATCTGACCTAAATAATGACTGTTTCCAAACAGGTTTCCCAGACACTCCTCCGATCTGCCCCACAAAGTCCCAGTAAAGTCAGCTATAATGCCATGCTAATTATGGGGTACTTAAAAGTATAAATATATTTACGTTGCAGTTCTTGCACATAAGGTTTAGTGAATATACGAATATTAAAACATGCTATTTTTTTACTCTTCAGCTGATAATTAGTTCATGAATATCCACCTTATTTTGCAACACAGAAGCAAGTTTTTTCTGCGAATGCATGTACTAAAAATATATGCGCTACAAACCAGTGTTAATGATTGTGACAACAAATTAAAATCATATAAGAAATACCAGTTTGCAATATAAAGCACAAAGGACTGTTTTTGGACAGTTAAAATACATAACTTATTATTGTGTAAATGTAAATATTCATCTGCTGTCAATGTAAATCTAAATGTGACTTGTGTGAATGTAAACTTAACCATATAAATGTAAAAGTAACTATTGTGTAAATATTAACTAAGAAACATCATGTCTCCTGAAGCAACGTCTGACCAGTTGTCCTTCAGTATTTTCACAGAGCTGAAGCTGGGATGTTTTATTTCATCTCTTTAACCTGAGGCCGGAGTGTGGCTTATTCAGCATGAGTGTTTTTTTAAACCAAACTAGTGTGTGTTTTTAATTATACTGGTGTCGACTCTTTGGCCTCGTATTTTATGGCTCCTCTTTCTTGGCTAATGGTCATGTGTTCAGCTTCTATCAATCAGTCACTGACAGCGATGAGGTTTTGACACGCACACGGCATCATGGTGTTGTACTTACTCTACAGAGTGAGCGTGAGGAGCTTGATAAGATTAGCATGCGCACATGAGTTAGTTTCATGGCTCACTTGCTTTGCCCGTATGTAAACGTAGCATCTGCACAGGTTCACAGTCTCTCCAGTAACCATAGAAACCAGCAGTGTGACCCAGTGGCTCCTGGGACTGGGTCTCAGATGCTCTGTTTTTCTCTCTAAACTGCTTTTGATTGTGCAAACAGAAACCAGAGTCCACCAACACCTGCCCTCATTTCAAGAAAGTATTTTCCCACTCCGTGCAGAAGAATGGAGGAGGAGGAGTGAACAGCTCATGTTTTACGGCTCTCAGGTTGCGTGTTTATGAGCACACAGTCATTCCCGGGGCAGGTCTGGGTTTGTTCTTCTGGGAATGTGGGAAACAACCTGTTAGACGATACAGGTGACGTGTGTTTCCAAACAGGTTTCCCAGACACTCCTCCGATCTGCCCCACAAAATCCCAATAAAGTCAGCTATAATGCCATGCTAATTATGGGGTACTTAAAAGTATAAATATATTTACGTTGCATTTCTTGCACATAAGGATTAGTGAATATACGAATATTAAAACATGAATTTTTTTTTACTCTTCAGCTGATAATTAGTTCATCGTGTAATCACAATGGCGCCGACGCTGATGGCTGCCTCTGTGGCGTGCTCCGCAGTTGTTTTTGTGTTTTTGTTAGTTTGTCCTGTCTTTAGTTATATCCCTGCAATCAGTTTCACCAGAGACGAATTGCTGGACATTCGGAAGTACACACCACCCGATATTTCACCGGTTTTCGACTATTCGGATGTTTTGCTGGACATTGCAGTCGGGGGAGCTGTGGCGCTGATCAAGCGCTTCAGGACGCGCAGACGGGGGAAGCGAGCCGGCACGCTCGTGAAGCTCAGACAGCGCAGATTCAGGACGCCGTTGCCTAGCATCCATCTGGCGAACCTCCGCTCTTTACCCAACAAAACAGACGAACTCCTTCTGCTCTCCCGGACAAATAAGGATTTTTCTAACTCTGCTGCTCTGTGTTTCACGGAAACCTGGCTGAAAGACGCCATTCCGGACAGCGCGTTGAGTCTCCCGGGCTTTCAGATGTTCAGAGCGGATCGCGACGCAGAATCAACCATGTGCAAAGCTTTATTCCAAAACATAGTCAAAACAGGCAAGGGTCGGACAATGGCAAACAGGTATTTAGAGGACAAGACAGAAGAGTAATCCGATAAACAGGCATAGGTCGATCAACGGTGAACATAATCCAAAGGTTGAGGCAAGCGAGTAATCCATAGACAGATAATAAATCCAAGCGAGGTGCGAACAGAATCCAGACGACAAGATGAGAGAGAAATCCAAGACAGGCAGGTAATCGGGAAACAGGCAATCACGTGACTAGACTTAGATTAGAACTAGAAACTCAAACTAGGACCGGGAACAGGCTCCGTAAAGTAGCTACGCTAAACAGCATAAATGCTAAACAATACTCTGCGATTTGAAAGAGGAAAACCATGGCTTATAAAGTGTTTTAGATTGGTTACAGCTGTGTCTGTCATTAATGCAATAGATGCTGGGAAATGTAGTTTGTGGTGACATGTGGAAGTCTGTGTAGTATGACAGTCAATATAATGGAAGTGTGATCTCTGGTGGCAAGCGGATGGAAGTCCATGGGCAGGATTCGTGACACACACATAGGAGACTTGGAGGTACGAGTCTCCCCCCAATCTGCCCCCCCCTCGAAGGAGCAGCTTCCAGACACTCTAGAAATAACACAGTCCAGGAGGGTGGTGGAGGGCCAGGTCCATGTATTAGATGACCTGGGCTGCGCTCCAGTCCATTTTTTTATGTCCTTCACTCGCCAACTTCCATCTGTCTTGTTTACTCGGATGAATGCCAAATCTGACCTCAGAAGACTTCAGAGGGTAGTCCGGACTGCTGAGCGAATCATTGGTACAACCCTCCCTTCTCTCCAAGAACTGTACTCGTCCAGAGTGAGCAAAAGGGCTGGCAGAATCCCTCTGGACCCCTCACATCCAGCACACTCCCTCTTTGAACTGTTGCCATCTGGTCGACGCTACAGAGCTCTGAGCACCAGAACGACCAGACACAGGAACAGTTTCTTCCCTCAGGCCATCCATCTCATGAACACTTGACAATAACTGTGGAACACACACTATTTATTCACTCATACACTTATTTATCTAACACACACACTCAGTCTACATTTCAATTTGCACATAATATACCTGTACATACAACTGTCTATTGTTATATACCTGTACATACAATTGTCGATTTGTATATTTTTATTCCTTAGTTACTTGTTCTATTTTCTATTTTTTATTATCTGTGTTTTTGTTCTGTCACTGTCATTCTGTTACACTGTGGAGCTTCTGTCATGAAAACAAATTCCTCGTATGTGTAAACATACCTGGCAATAAAGCTCGTTCTGATTCTGATTCTGATGAATATCCACCTTATTTTGCAACACAGAAGCAAGTTTTTTCTGTGAATGCATGTACTAAAAATATATGTGCTACAAACCAGTGTTAATGAATATGACAACAAATTAAAATCATATAAGAAATACCAGTTTGCAATATAAAGCACAAAGGACTGTTTTTGGACAGTTAAAATAACTGGAAGCAAACTGGCATATTTGTATAAAGTGAAAGTGATCATAAAGTTAACGGTTGGTTTTGTTGAGATATTACATTAATGGAAGGAGGGAATAATTATCTTGATAAATTAAGGGAGGGACACTAATGGTCTGTGAGATAAGAGGCTGATTGCTTGACTTTTACACATGTTCAGCAGTGGACTGCAGATGAATTAGAAATGTGCGCTGTGTGGAAACACATCTCACAAGTCCTCAGCTCTCTGGCTAACGTTCTAGCATGGTCTCCTCAAAGCTGCAAACAAACGTTCTTCCAGTAACATTAAAATGACGTTTGTTTAGAATGATCTGGTCTTTAATAATGTTCTAAAAACGTAAGCATAAAAACATGATTTGTACATCATTCATAGACAGTTTTATTTTTGAATCTTTTTTTGTTGGAAGTTTGACTAACGTTTTTAAATGTTACTTCTTTCAGAACGTTCAGAAGAACATTCACAAGTAACATTCCCGTAAAGTTTTCAAAGTGAAACATTCCCTAAACTTTCACATAACCAAGAGAAACATTTCTAAAGCATTTTAAAAGAGATGTCTGAAACGTTCAGAGAACATTCAAAAATAACATTTTTATAACTTAATGGGAATGTGAGCAAAACATTCACAAAGCGTATTACAGACATCGTTTTTATTATAAGATTTTTATTTGAATTCATAAAATACTGTCCATTTGAACTGACACTGATGGTAGGAGATAAACAAGAGGGACACGGGTGGATTGGGATTCAAAACCTGGGAAACCCATATCAAAGAACAAAACAAACAAAAAGAGAAGAGCTAACCCTGTGAGAAAGAGCGTGAGTTCACTGCAGTTGTGCTCCATAGCATGAGAGTTATCTGTATGATGTGTGATGTTTATGATCAGTCATAATCATCGTTCAGAGGGCAGCAATCTCAGTAGCTCTCTACCAGTTTAGTGCACATTTAGTTTGTGTAATAGTAATAGTTCTGAGTCATCATTAACACGTATAATTCCTGAGACAGTTTCGGAGGTCTGGTTCATAAAGTGTGGTGCAGCAATCAAAGATAAAGTGTCAATAACAAAAAGGTTACAGGCTCTAATCCTACAAGGCCTGATTATTCCATATCCATTGTATCCTCAAGCAAAATGCCCAAAAAGGAATATTTCCCCATAGGAACTGGGGGAATGAAGAACTAAAGGGGACATTAAAATGGTGAAAACCTTGAAAGAAATGGTGGCAATGGAGAAATGGTGGTTCACACACATTGTGACTTGACATCTTATGTTAGAAAAGGGACGACTGGTGCCCGGCGAGGAGCGCTTCCTCCGGGGCAGCAGAGGGCGCTGTGGTGGAAGAGTGCGCTCTCTGTTTTATTTGCATTTATTAATAACAAATAACAAACAGAGCATAGCGTAAGACAGTCAGTGCTATACAAAGTGTGACATTAATTAGTAACGGGAACTGAAAATCACATTTTAAACATGTTAATGACTTTTTGTTTTTTTAACAATTTCAGAGACGATATAAAACAATCAAATTCCACTAAAAATACCTTAAATATTGGAGATGAATTTAAGCATTTTTGTTTATGTATATAAAATTTTGCCAGCAATATGAATAAATTAACAATGTATTCAAGAGCTTTGTTAGCATTGTTTTCATAGAACATCCTTTAAGAAAAACTGTATTTATCCTTTACTAGATTAAAAATCAATTCTGCCAATTCCTTCCAGAAATGTTGGGTAGTTTTACAATCATAAATTAATGTGATAACACCTCTTTCTCATTTTTACAAAAGGAGCATAAATCATCAATATCAGAGGATCTTGAAATGATTGATTAACTGGGTAGATGGTATGCAACATTTTAAAATGTGTTTCTATAGTTTTGTTATCGATGCAGTATTTAAAGGGAGTTAACCAAGCAGTCTTCCACTTAATATGATCAACAATAGAGTTCCAAAAGAGTTTTCCTCTGCTGTTATTTTATTTTGCTTTTGGAAAACAGTACACATATGTTTGTTATTGCATTTTTTTTTGATCAGTTAGTTCAATTTGTTTAAAATGAATTTAGGTTTTGTCATTATCGCAGAGTTATAGCGAATATGACTGTTAACAAGACGACCCAGAGGAGGAGGAATAGCTTTAATGACCGAATTAAATTCCTTAAAATGCAATGCACAGGGAAACTAGAAACTAGGCCTAGAAGAGAACAAGTTATTTTCACACATTTACGAAGAGGACGTTCCAATCTAAATCATACTTCCCACATTACAGTGCAGCATAACACGGGTCTATGTGATGTCTGTTTAACACAGGAGACTGTAGAGCATGTTATGAAGATGTGGAAGATATATGAAGTGCAGTCATGAGACTTATTAAGAATAGTGGCTTATATAATAGGATACAGGAGGGTTTGTGCATTCTCTTCAGCCTCCAGCACAGTAGGTGGCGGTATGCACCTCAGAAGTTGGTTCGCAACCCGCCATTAAACCAGAAGAAGAAGAAGAAGAAGAAGAAGAGGCAGAAGAAGAAGCAGAAGAAGAAGAAGCTCAGACTTCTCTATTAGAAGCGAGCAGACGCTGGACGCTAAAAACCCTCATAAAGTGTCATATTTGACGGTAAGTTATCAGACTATATTTAATATCGTGTCATGCAGTTATATGAGGATATTCTGTGTGTTTATAAGATCGTAGCACTGCTGTTGTTCTCTGACGAGAATGGAAAGTGAAAGTAAATATAACGCCCTGGTTTGCTTTCCTCACGACTCGACTTCAGATTGTGGGGGACTTTCTCATATTTACCGAGATTATGTGCCTAAAGCTATTTCCACTGAAGCTAGCTTCATTACCAGCTGTTGCTGACACCAGCTCTGTGCAATATTTCTGGCATATTTGAGCGTTTTCCTGAAGTTTAGGACTATTAATCATGTAGAGGCCACAGATGTTTAATCTGAGATTAATAACATGTTTAGGGTGTAATTATCTCATGATTGCTGGCCTCATAGAAATTACTTGCTTTAACTAAAGACTGATGAATATAATATGCACATAAGAGACATGGCACTTTTTTTTTCTCTTAAAAAATAAATAAATAAATGAAATGTTCTGGAATAATATGATTACAGTGAAATGTGTGTGATTGTGTTACTGATGGTGTTTGTTTGGTGAACACAGCGAAACTCATTGTGGAGAAGAGCAGCTATCACACATTTGACAAATATAATAATCTGCAGGTCTGAGATTTGAGGGGTTTTCAGCAGCGCTTCAACAATGAAACATCAGCTCTGAATATAATCTTCATCAGATGTGAGGATCAGTTAGTTGATGTGTGTGAGTGACGTCACGTTACAGCAGCAGAAACACATCCAGCTCTGAACAGAGTCCTGCTTTTCTCCTGCTGCTGAAGTCAGATATGTTCAGTAAGACACAAGAGCATCAGTGAGCTCAGATACTGACGATGCTCATGAGGAGCACTCTTCAGATCTTCTTCACTGCAGTCAGTAAAGCAGCACTTTATGCATTCAGAAGAACAAACTGCTGCAGCTCCACATTCTCTTCAATCTCATTGTGTGTGCAGCGTTAAGATTGCTTTTCACTGCAATCACTGGAATAATAATCACAATATTACGTGTCGTGTGTTCTCTTGTGTTTCCATATGCAGGACTGAAGTCAGTTTGTGATTATGGAGAGCAGAGAGAGCAGAGAGAGATCTTCATCTGCTGATCACAGCTGTGTGTCTCTGAAGAGTGACGGATCTATGCCTCATCCTCCTGACCTCAGTGATGATCCAGTGACCTCTGACCCCAGGTGAGATATTATCCAGTGTTAGACACTACAGACTGACTTGTAATAAATGAACAGCAGACAGAACTAAAGGAAGTGTTATGTTTGTGTGTTTATCAGGATCTTCAGGAGGAGGAAGAGGAAGAGATCTTCATCTGCTGATCCCAGCTGTGTGTCTCTGAAGAGTGACAGATCCATGTATAATCCTCCTGACCTCAGTGATGAAGCAGTGACCTCTGACCCCAGGTGAGACACACAACTACTGCTTTCTCAGTGTGTCCCACAGGAGTTTGTGAGACTGTGGTGGGTGGACTCGGTCCCTCTAGGGGGGTCCGGGGACATGCCCCCCCGCAAGAAAATGTTGTAGATTTTAAAGTTAAATGTATCTATCTGGTGCACTTTGAGAGTTCAACATTAAGAGCTCCAACACAGGTTCAGTGTGCAAACTAAACAAAGAGAAGAGCTGGTGAAGTGACTGTACTTGAGGTTTAAAGGGGAATAATCCTCTTTTTAGTTGTGATATAGTGTCTAATCATAAATATATAATCATAATAATAAGAATAATTTTAGAATATTATTACTATGACAGTAATAGCCATATATTGTAAAACAATTGCACTGTAAAATAAATAAAAATGAGTATTTCACAGCTATATTATTTGACCTTATTCTACAGGAGGGAAATTACAATACTTGTGTCCTAATTTCTACACTCGCAAGCAGGGCCTAAAACTAACTTTTTACCACATCTGCCATTTTAATCACAATACAAACAAAGATGCTTCACACTACACACATGTAGCATGAGTAGTTTTTTATTTAAATTTGATTGTATAATTTCACAATTTAAAGCAAAAACAGAATACTCTGGCTTAGCTTTGTGAAATTATGCAACAAAAAACCAGTGTTGCCAACTTGGCGACTTTTCAGACCCCTTTAACGACTTTTTTCCAAAAAAGCGCCTAGCGACAAATCTAGCGACTTCTTGTACAAACCTTATTTAGTTTCTAAGCGCACACCCCTCTCTCTGCGTCTGCTCTGTTCAGCAAGCGGCTGAGAGGAGCAGCGCTTTCAGTTAAAAGAGATATTCTGTGGCTTCAAACTCTACTGTACATGCAAATATAGCTGAAATCACACCTTAAATATTGGAGATGAATTTAAGCATTTTTGTTTATGTATATAAAATTTTGCCAGCAATATGAATAAATTAACAATGTATTCAAGAGCTTTGTTAGCATTGTTTTCATAGAACATCCTTTAAGAAAAACTGTATTTATCCTTTACTAGATTAAAAATCAATTCTGCCAATTCCTTCCAGAAATGTTGGGTAGTTTTACAATCATAAATTAATGTGATAACACCTCTTTCTCATTTTTACAAAAGGAGCATAAATCATCAATATCAGAGGATCTTGAAATGATTGATTAACTGGGTAGATGGTATGCAACATTTTAAAATGTGTTTCTATAGTTTTGTTATCGATGCAGTATTTAAAGGGAATTAACCAAGCAGTCTTCCACTTAATATGATCAACAATAGAGTTCCAAAAGAGTTTCCTCTGCTGTTATTTTATTTTGCTTTTGGAAAACAGTACACATATGTTTGTTATTGCATTTTTTTTTGATCAGTTAGTTCAATTTGTTTAAAATGAATTTAGGTTTTGTCATTATCGCAGAGTTATAGCGAATATGACTGTTAACAAGACGACCCAGAGGAGGAGGAATAGCTTTAATGACCGAATTAAATTCCTTAAAATGCAATGCACAGGGAAACTAGAAACTAGGCCTAGAAGAGAACAAGTTATTTTCACACATTTACGAAGAGGACGTTCCAATCTAAATCATACTTCCCACATTACAGTGCAGCATAACACGGGTCTATGTGATGTCTGTTTAACACAGGAGACTGTAGAGCATGTTATGAAGATGTGGAAGATATATGAAGTGCAGTCATGAGACTTATTAAGAATAGTGGCTTATATAATAGGATACAGGAGGGTTTGTGCATTCTCTTCAGCCTCCAGCACAGTAGGTGGCGGTATGCACCTCAGAAGTTGGTTCGCAACCCGCCATTAAACCAGAAGAAGAAGAAGAAGAAGAAGAAGAGGCAGAAGAAGAAGCAGAAGAAGAAGAAGCTCAGACTTCTCTATTAGAAGCGAGCAGACGCTGGACGCTAAAAACCCTCATAAAGTGTCATATTTGACGGTAAGTTATCAGACTATATTTAATATCGTGTCATGCAGTTATATGAGGATATTCTGTGTGTTTATAAGATCGTAGCACTGCTGTTGTTCTCTGACGAGAATGGAAAGTGAAAGTAAATATAACGCCCTGGTTTGCTTTCCTCACGACTTGACTTCAGATTGTGGGGGACTTTCTCATATTTACCGAGATTATGTGCCTAAAGCTATTTCCACTGAAGCTAGCTTCATTACCAGCTGTTGCTGACACCAGCTCTGTGCAATATTTCTGGCATATTTGAGCGTTTTCCTGAAGTTTAGGACTATTAATCATGTAGAGGCCACAGATGTTTAATCTGAGATTAATAACATGTTTAGGGTGTAATTATCTCATGATTGCTGGCCTCATAGAAATTACTTGCTTTAACTAAAGACTGATGAATATAATATGCAGATAAGAGACACGGCACATTTTTCCTCTTCATAAATAAATAAATAAATGAAGTGTGCTGGAATAATATGATTACAGTGAAATGTGTGTGATTGTGTTGCTGATCGTGTTTGTTTGGTGAACACAGCGAAACTCATTGTGGAGAAGAGCAGCTATCACACATTTGACAAATATAATAATCTGCAGGTCTGAGATTTGAGGGGTTTTCAGCAGCGCTTCAACAATGAAACATCAGCTCTGAATATAATCTTCATCAGATGTGAGGATCAGTTAGTTGATGTGTGTGAGTGACGTCACGTTACAGCAGCAGAAACACATCCAGCTCTGAACAGAGTCCTGCTTTTCTCCTGCTGCTGAAGTCAGATATGTTCAGTAAGACACAAGAGCATCAGTGAGCTCAGATACTGACGATGCTCATGAGGAGCACTCTTCAGATCTTCTTCACTGCAGTCAGTAAAGCAGCACTTTATGCATTCAGAAGAACAAACTGCTGCAGCTCCACATTCTCTTCAATCTCATTGTGTGTGCAGCGTTAAGATTGCTTTTCACTGCAATCACTGGAATAATAATCACTATATTACGTGTCGTGTGTTCTCTTGTGTTTCCATATGCAGGACTGAAGTCAGTTTGTGATTATGGAGAGCAGAGAGAGCAGAGAGAGATCTTCATCTGCTGATCACAGCTGTGTGTCTCTGAAGAGTGATGGATCTATGCCTCATCCTCCTGACCTCAGTGATGATCCAGTGACCTCTGACCCCAGGTGAGATATTATCCAGTGTTAGACACTACAGACTGACTTGTAATAAATGAACAGCAGACAGAACTAAAGGAAGTGTTATGTTTGTGTGTTTATCAGGATCTTCAGGAGGAGGAAGAGGAAGAGATCTTCATCTGCTGATCCCAGCTGTGTGTCTCTGAAGAGTGACGGATCTAAGCCTCCTCCTCCTGACCTCAGTGATGATCCAGTGACCTCTGACCCCAGGTGAGATATTATCCAGTGTTAGACACTACAGACTGACTTGTAATAAATGAACAGCAGACAGAACTAAAGGAAGTGTTATGTTTGTGTGTTTATCAGGATCTTCAGGAGGAGGAAGAGGAAGAGATCTTCATCTGCTGATCCCAGCTGTGTGTCTCTGAAGAGTGACAGATCCATGTATAATCCTCCTGACCTCAGTGATGAAGCAGTGACCTCTGACCCCAGGTGAGACACACAACTACTGCTTTCTCAGTGTGTCCCACAGGAGTTTGTGAGACTGTGGTGGGTGGACTCGGTCCCTCTAGGGGGGTCCGGGGACATGCCCCCCCGCAAGAAAATGTTGTAGATTTTAAAGTTAAATGTATCTATCTGGTGCACTTTGAGAGTTCAACATTAAGAGCTCCAACACAGGTTCAGTGTGCAAACTAAACAAAGAGAAGAGCTGGTGAAGTGACTGTACTTGAGGTTTAAAGGGGAATAATCCTCTTTTTAGTTGTGATATAGTGTCTAATCATAAATATATAATCATAATAATAAGAATAATTTTAGAATATTATTACTATGACAGTAATAGCCATATATTGTAAAACAATTGCACTGTAAAATAAATAAAAATGAGTATTTCACAGCTATATTATTTGACCTTATTCTACAGGAGGGAAATTACAATACTTGTGTCCTAATTTCTACACTCGCAAGCAGGGCCTAAAACTAACTTTTTACCACATCTGCCATTTTAATCACAATACAAACAAAGATGCTACACACATGTGGCATGAGCAGCTTTTTGATTGAAATTTGATTTCATCCTTTCAGCATTTGAAGCAAAAACATAATGGTCTGACTTAGAGCTGCACGATTCTGGATAAACTGAGAATCAGGATATTTTTGTCTCAAATAGAGATCACGATTCTGAACTAAACTAAATAATGTGTGATTTACTAGAGGCTGTGACAAATATGAATGGCTGCAGTCTATTTAAAAATATTTAGTTAATTTGAATGAATATATATAAATATATGTATATATGTGTGTGTGTGTGTGTGTGTGTATTTATTTATTTATTTAATCAACCAACTTTTAATATTAAAATTATGAAAAAATGGTTTGAATGAACGATTCAATGATTTACTCATAAATACTTCATTGTTTCATTACTGGATGAATCAGCATTTTTGAACAAATCTTTTGAATGATTCAATGACAAACACTTTTAAGTTTTAAGTAAACCTAGTGGCGAAACAATGCAATCGACACAAATGTTATTTGAAGCGCCAATTACTTTCAAACTATAAAACTTTTATCCCAGTATTTCTGTGATAATATAAATGATTGCAAGACAGAAATAACACTGTGTGGTTGAAAAGACTGATTGTGAAGCTGTTTCTTACCCAAGCACGGTAACTGCTCTCTCTGTGTCAGCGGCAGCGCAGCGCGAAAGCAGGTTTGAATGTTCCGGTAAGACTTTTTCAAGCCTTTATTAGACACGGGAGAATCGTTGTCATTTAGAAATGAGATCGCATGGGTGTTTGAATTGCGATCTCGATCTTTCAGCGATTAATCGTGCAGCTCTAGTTTGACTTTAGCTTTGTGAAATTATGCTAAAACCTGCATAAAACATAAGCAGCAGGTCTGAATGAGACGCAGATTCACTCTCTGACAGCAGGGGGCGCTTATGAAACAGCAGCGATAAGAGGGAAAAATGCCATCGAAAGTCGGTTTCCTTCAGAAATACATTCATATAACCTCCACCCCAGTATTTACATTTTTCGAATGTTCCGGCTTTTTCAAACCTTTATTAGACACGGGAGAATCGTTGTCATTTAGAAATGAGATCGCATGGGTGTTTGAATTGCGATCTCGATCTTTCAGCGATTAATCGTGCAGCTCTAGTTTGACTTTAGCTTTGTGAAATTATGCTAAAACCTGCATAAAACATAAGCAGCAGGTCTGAATGAGACGCAGATTCACTCTCTGACAGCAGGGGGCGCTTATGAAACAGCAGCGATAAGAGGGAAAAATGCCATCGAAAGTCGGTTTCCTTCAGAAATACATTCATATAACCTCCACCCCAGTATTTACATTTTTCTTGCAATAAACAGTGAGCTTGCTTTGCCTGTACAGTATTTTCTTTGTGCATGTCTGTTAATTTTAGTCCTTGCTTGCAAAAGATAACCCTATGAACTTTTATTTTGGGGGAAACTGCAGTTGAGCATGTATTTCAGTGAAGAACTCCAGCTTCTTTGAAAACAGGTTTACAAATGTGTCTCATTACAAATCAGGTGAAATGCTGTAAACATTTGCCCATTACAATGTTAAAAGTTATGTGTAACTGGTGGCTGATAAAATGATATATAGGTTACAGAAATTGAGCAAAGAGCACTCCCTAAGCTTTCATTCACTTCAGCTGCGGCGCTGAACGCCTATAATGTGCAACACTGCAAAACGAGCTGTAAATAGAAATCATGACAGTCTTCAGACAGAGCATGAACATAGATAAGCACAGGACTGTTTGAAGGCAGCTGCCTATCAACGTGTATAGAGTTGTATAAGTTATCTGTTAATTCTGCTAAACTTTAATTACTAAAACCGAAACTAAACTATATAACAAGTTGTATAGTGCACTGAGTTTTAAATAAAAGTGCACTGTTTTAAATAATACACTGAAGTTGTCAAGACACTTATGACTCGTTCACACTAAGAACGATACATTTAATGATAACAATATTAGCATCAGGGCTGTCCATAATGTGGGACTTTTAATTATAAACAAACAGAAATACAGTGGACTTGTATTTTGCCTGCTTTTCTATTGCTGGCTCTTTATTCAAAAAGATGAGGGAGATCAAATATGAATCTTACAACCCTCTAACATGTTACAGTATCCACAGCATAAAGTACAGACTCATAATCAGAATCAGAATGAGCTTTATTGCCAGGTATGTTTACACATGCGAGGAATTTGTTTTCGTGACAGAAGCTTCCACAGTGTAACAGAATGACAGTGACAGAACAAAAAACACAGATAATAAAAATAAAAAAAATAGAACAAGAAAATAAGGAATAAAAATATATAAATTGACAATTGTATGTGCAGGTATATTACAATAGACAATTTTGTATGTACAGGTATATTATCTGCAAATTTGAGGTGTAGACTGAATATGAGTGTTAGGTAAATAAGTGTATGAGTGAATAAATAGTGTGTGTTCCACAGTTATTGTTAAGTGTTCATGAGATGGATTGCCTGAGGGAAGAAACTGTTCCTGTGTCTGGTCGTTCTGGTGCTCAGTGCTCTGTAGCGTCGACCAGATGGCAACAGTTCAAAGAGGGAGTGTGCTGGATGTGAGGGGTCCAGAGTGATTCTGCCAGCCCTTTTGCTCACTCTGGATAAGTACAGTTCTTGGAGAGAAGGGAGGGTTGTACCAATGATTCGCTCAGCAGTCCGGACTACCCTCTGTAGTCTTCTGAGGTCAGATTTGGTAGCTGAGCTGAACCAGACAGTTATTGAAGTGCAGAGGATGGATTCAATGATGGCGGAGTAGTCCAGATCTGCTCTATTCACTGAGGTTTTAGTTTCTTCCTCATTTCTTAAAACTCTCAGTGAGTTTGATTCTTTCCTTGTCACCTTTAGCTGCTCGCTGGAGGATTGTAACATACTCTTTTCCTTTCCTTTGCATTTTCCTACTTTTCTGCTTTAGAACAATGTGCGTTACAAAAAGTGATAAACAGATTAACTGAAACTAAAATTATACTGAAAACACTAGACTGACATCTCTATCGGTTTAGATGTTAATTTACACATCCTTTATTTTCAGATATGTTTAATCTGTTGTTCTTGTGATATTTCAGCAGAGCAGATGGAGAGCGAAGCATCTCTGGAGGAGCCGCCTCTGTCTTCTGTCTGAACAACACGAGCGTTACAGCGTCTCTGAATAAACATGATCAACCAGTGAATGATGAACTACAGAGAGTCAAAGAGCAGCTCAAAACCAGCATGAAGAACAAGTATGAGAGATTATTTGAGGGACTGAAACTCCAGGAGAATGAAAGCCTCCTGAACAGCATCTACACACAGCTCTACATCATAGAGGGAGAGAGAGAAGGAGTGAATGAAGAACATGAGGTTTTACAGCGGAGCCACTGCATGAATTCAGATCTTACAGATTTGTCTCTCTGTATGATCTACTAACATCAGCAGTAGATAAAGCTGTTGAGAGTG